ATGTACATGTATGTACAGTGTACATTGTACATTGTAAATAAAGGTGAAGAGTTCATTTTACCTGAGAAACCAAAACAACTGATGCCCAAAGTGCTGATTCTTAAGAGCTCTCTTGAGTAAAAACTCTGCCAAGTCATTATCAAGGTATGATTCATACTTTAGAACCTGCAGAAAGGACAACAACAAATGTAAACATTAAGGGTTCCCTCTTGAGACGCACAATAACCAGTGTACCCCTCATATCTGTCCACTTGGCAAGGTACAAATATGCGTTCACCGTTGAGTGAAAAATGTCAAAAATTCCATCACTGGGATCAAGAAAATCTAACAAGAAACTTGTTTACCTGGACTAGCTGAAGAAGATACTGTGAAATTTCCCTGTCACTGCAAAGAGAAATTTGAGGCAACAAAGTCTTAAGCCCATAACTAAATGCATACACGTACATGGACAGTACCAATAACTGTTCAAGTGTGTTCGCAGGGGTTTCATTACAGACCAGGTACCGGGCAAATTGACCAGCTGTGAGAATGAGTTTGCCCGCTTGGTTTGACCATCTAGAGGAAAATTTTTCTTATAATGAAGTTCAGTTCAAAAAGTTTTGCTTTGTGAAAACCGGTTGCCCTCTTGCTGAAAACATTAATGAAGCCCCTGAGGGTGTGGCAAAGATATAAGATTTGACAGGGCAACTGCATGTGGCCTTAACCTAAAAAGCTGTGTAGACAAACTAAAAAAAGATTTTCCCCTTTCTGTAACGCCACTTAGATGCGTAAGACTATAAGTAACCAATCAACATTCTAAGTTATTACAGAATGATCCATGCAATAAAAAAACTTAACTCATAATTCTTATTTCATCCCAAATACCATGCACATGTAATTACATGTACATGTGCAATGACATACCACAAACAATAACACCAGCTACATGTAGCAACTCCGTCATTGTTAGATCACCACAGGATAGTAAAGTTATCCAACATAATTCAACAAAATACCCACCTCATTTTTTCAATGCACTGCACAGCAATCTTCCTCACTTCCTGGTCAGCATACGTGAAATCCAACAGTTCTAAAGCCTGCTCTGGGTCCAGCCTGGGCCAAGTTTGAAGAAGAATCTGCATCTGAAAACATTATATATTAAATAATTATAAATTCTTTCTGGTATTTTACAGTACACATAAATTATATTTTATGATGATCTTCTTATCAAACTATACCAAAAATTTTGAAATAAAATGAATTGTCTAAGTTTTTACAAGCTCTAAATGTGAGCATCCCAATAACCTTTTGAAAGCTGCAAGTGAAAGCGAATTAATTGTTTTTTGCTTAATAGGGCTCACTTATTTGATTTGTCCCTCATGTCTGCAAACATGTTTTTGTCGAGGAAAAGGTTGTTGTTATTCATCGTGGTAGATGCAGTAATAAAGTGTATTATCGTTTGTGCGGGACTACCCGTTTATCATGTGTTGATCTTAGGTGATTGCACTGTTTTAGGCCGTTGGACCATGTACTTTGTGCGGGACTGCCCGTTTATCACGTGTTGATCTTAGGTGATTACACTGTTTTAGGCCGTTGAGCCATGCCATTTTTGAGCAGAACTGCAAGTATATAGTGTGCTGAATGCAAGATTTAGGCCTCTGGGCCTTCCTTATGTTCTGATCTGCGTGTTGTTGCATTTTTGTTTTTTCTAATTGTTCTCACATTTCTTTTGTTATCT